GCATGTGGACACTGTCTTCCTTGTCTCTCATGAAGGAAGGTGAGCCGCACCTTCTTAGGGGGCTCGGTGATCAGAGGTAATGCCCTCTCCAGTGATCTGATGCCAGCCAGACATCACCCGGGAGCACAGTGGGTACAGCAAGGGCTGTGGAAGGAGTGGGCAGCGTCAAAGCCCCATCTCTGTACTGGCTCAGTCAGGTGAGACTGTGACCGAATGCCAGGAGTTCAGTCTAGGTCCCATTGCTCACCACAAAGAAAGCTGATCCCTGATTCAATGAGCATTTCCAGGAAAGAGGGCTTTTTATTTGGGTGACTTCAGCCAGAGAAACAGGAGCCAAACCTCAAATCTGTCCCTCCCCCACTGACTAAAGTTAGGGGTTTACATAGCTGGGAAGGAAAACAGGAGGGGCTAGGCAGAGAAGCTGGTCCACAGGCAGCAGGTGCGCCTCATTGTACAAATGTTAAGTTCCTCAAGCTTCGCTTCTATGGGCATCCAGCTTGTTGGAAAATTGGGTCAGTTTCATGACCATGTGCATTCAGCAGGGACCAGTCAGGGGACTGGAGCCCCACCAGGTATTCTGGTCAGAATGATTTTATATAAAGGCTTATTAGCTAGGTATAAAGCATTGTTAACTAGAAAATTAAAAGAAAGCGAGAAAAAGAACACTAAGATACCATGGAGTGGCAGCTTGAGGAAACAGCTTCCACACTAGGCCTGGGGGAACCAAGAGAAGCAGTTGGAATTAGGAACACCATGGTGTTCCTACAACCTGGAAGCTAGAAGCTAGAAACTTGGAGGAGAGGCCCCAAGGAGCCAAGGCTTCGCTCTCTGAGGAGGGGGCTCTGCTGGGCTGGTGCTGGAATCTCAGAAGGGGCACAGCAAGGCTGGTCTCTTTCTTCTTCTTCTTTTCTTGTCTTTCCTTTCTTTCTTCTTGTTCATTTCTTCCTTCCTTCCCTCTCCTTCCTTCCTTCCCCTTCCCTTTCCTTCTTCTTCTTCTCTTCCTTTTCCTTCCTCCTCCATTCCTTCTTCCTTCTTCTTTCTTTTCTTGTTTAGACAGAGTCTTGCTCTGTCTCCACAGCTAGAGTGCCAGTGACAACACATCTCGTCATTGAACCTCTCGCCTCCCGGGTTCCAAGTGATTATCCTGCTCAGTCCCAAAGTAGCTGGGACTGACAGGCACATCTGCGCCACCACGAACACGCTGATTTTGTTGGTAATTTTTAGTAGAGACGGTATTTCACCATGTTGGCAGCCGATGGTCCTTGTGATCTACCTGAACCGTCGCCTGATCAGCCCGCTCCAGTCCAAAGCGTGCTGTCCAGAGGCTTTCTTCTCTGCCATGGGTCCTTTGTGGGCCCATCACTCTGGCTCTGCATCTGCCCAGGCGCTGCCTGTCAACGAGCTTTTCTGCACTCAC